CTGCAAAAGTGTAATCTTTGTATCTGCTTCAGCCCCGGCCCCAGGAAGCGCGCGAGTCTGGTGCGCCCTCCCAGCCCCCGCCGCGCAGACAGCCTTGGGCTAGAGGACTTGGACCGTGGGGCTGGGGCCTCGCCCCTGGGGTTGGAGCGGCCAAGCCTCTGCCTTCTTTGCGCCGCAGTCTTGTCACCGCGAGAGAGCAGCCAGCCAGGAGCAGGGCTTTGTATTGCGATTGGCACTTTATGCTGACCATCGGTAACGGACATTTATCACTGGAGTTTTTAAAATATTAAATAAACGGTTATTTTACAGGCATTGCAAGATGGGTAATTTCCTGTGAAAATGCTGGAGACTAGGGGGCTCCTTTCGAGAGGAGGAGGTCTCTTACCTACTCCAACCTGTTTCATTTCCCTATCCCCGCCCTATTAGGGAGATATCGATGGGTGGGTGGAGAAACCCTGTCCAGGTGGTTGTTTGCCTCAGACCCCATTCCTTGTTTGTTTTCTTGCCTTTCTTCGCCTCTCCGGTCTTAGGGTCTCAGCTTCATCCACTCCCCTTATCCAAAGGGCTGTGAGTTTACAAAGAAGCCGTGCCTGAAGCCAGCATACAGGCCCTGAGAAATAGCAACATCTCGGGGTGCCGAGGGACGATTAGGGTCCACAAAAGTGACACAGTACCACCCCACTCCCTAACCCCAAACCCCGGTACCGACCCTTTCTTATGCTTTGGAATGAGTAGGACCCTTTGCCACACAACGTCTTAGATCAGCACTGTCTCTCCCCCTCTGCTCTCTCCGCACTCTGGGCCCCAGAACTCAGCGGTAAATACACAAGCACCGCAGCCATCCCAGAGCCCCAAACCTACGTCCCTCCTCCCTTAGCGTCCGCTAGACACACTTATCCAGTAGTCTCCTATCGGGATCACGGCTCCAAGCTTGCATAGATTCCCACAGTTTGGAAGCCTTGTTAGGAATGACGGCGGCAGGCGTCCTAGGAGGCGGGGGATGCTTAGGAAGAGAAATCTGAGGCCGCCCTCCACAAATGGAACCTTCCTCAGGACTCTTCTTTTTCCCACAATTTGAGGCCAGGCCGCCGGGGGCTCTCCTGCTTGACTTGGGGCGGAGCTCCCACAGCTAGAGCACCCTGACCGCGGGGTAGCGGCAGGCGGTGGCGCCCGCGGCCTTTCCCAAGTCTACTGTGGCCGCCGGCACTTCAGTGTTTTGTGTTCAGCGGCCGCCGAGACCGCCTGTTCGACCTTTCCTGAAGCAGGGACCTAAAATCCCAGTCTCAAGTAGAGCCCAACAGATTGAGAAAACGGGCCTAGCCTGTAGGAGCTAAAATGCTTTTGCCTTTTACTACAACATCACCTCCTCTGAAGACACTCCAACCACTGTGGGCGATAGTACTCCACCGGTCCCCCTCCCCCTAAAAACACCTCACTGCCATCCAATCGTTTCCTACTCATAGTGACCCCTCCTTAGGTTTCCCAGGCGGTATCTCTACGGAAGTAGATTGCCCAATCTGGTGAGTTTGAACCACCAGCTTTCGGGTTAGCAGTCAAATGTCTTAGGCACTACACCACCAGAGCTCCAGGGAACCTAATTTTGCCCAGTGGTGTGCGGCCCTCTGCGTTGGTGGCTGCATTGCCCCCTGCTGGACAGGCCTGGAGGAGCGGTCCAGGACTCCTGGCACCTCTGTTCCGTCCTCAATATCATATAACTCTCTCACGCAGCCCCTGTCCACCACTCATATGTATGTCTGGCCTTGCCTTCCACATCCTTCACTAGTCCGAGGGACCACTGCGAATGAGAGGCAGGGTGCTGGCCTATGGGCTCTCTGTTGGTTGGGCAAGATCCCAGTCCCTCTTCCACCCAGATGCATAAGGACAGACCATAGGAATAAATAGAGCCACGGCTCTCTCCGGGGAGAATTGGAACCTCTGGATGCCAGAACATGGAGGTTTGGGGCTCCGATGGCCTAGACCCAACCATTGCAGGCTGTGGTGGTATGGTAGGAGCTTGGCATTGGAGCATGTTAGTTCCCACAGCAGGGAACATCAGTTCCCTTTCAGGCCAGTGAAGTTGGGAGCTGGGGTTGTTCCAAGACGAGTGTTTGGGTGTACATAACACATGCACAACACATGCACGTGCTACAGAAGGCTTTGGGCTCCAAGAAAGAGCCACACCTAGTCGCTTTGCTCTTTCTGGGATTCCATCTTTCCTGGGGGATTACTCCTGTTGCCAGTCCCTCGCCTCCCACAGCCCTTCTGCACACCATCCCCAGGAAACACAGAGTTACTGAGCCTGAGCAGATAGCCAGGCCTCCGGACATTGGAAAGGCTGCGAAAGGTGGAGATTTCCCAGAGAGAATTTTCCTTTCCAGCTCACTTCATCTCTGGCACAGTGAATCCCCTTCTATCTACCTCTAGCTCCTATAGCCTAGAGACTTTCAACACCAGTTGTGCACCCTTGAAATAATAGATTCCCATCGCAGATTTTCTTTTGGGGTGGAGTGTCAGAGTGTGTGCTACCCAGACCTCCAGTCTGCTCAGAATGACCTATATGGATGATTGCTATCCTCCTATTGGACCAGATGCCACTTCTCAGTGTATTTCCCTGAGGTTTATACTCGGGGCAGTGATTTCATAGACTGTGCCTAAACATCAGTTGCAGGTAGTAGAAAGATAAGTCCCCCACACGGGCCACAATTCCCCGAAGACATAGTTGGAGGCACTTTTCTGCTCCCTTTCCGCGCGGACCACACAAAGAGGGCAGTGAGAGAGCCAGCAATGCTGGTTTCCTTGTCTGTTTCACTCTAGAGGCCAACTTCTTTCTGCTATGCTCCCCTGTCCTGAAACAAATAGCTTCTTTGGTCCGAGTGTCAGTTCTGAGAACTACGCGGCCCTAAGAGCGCGACTGGGGCCAGTGTTCAAGAGCGAAGGAGGCTGGCAAGCCTGGCTCGACGGCGCTCCAGTTGGGACCCTTCTCAAAGCTGCTAGGACTTCTGGGCAGAATGGGGGGGGGGGCGCTACCAGCCTCTGCTGGACTTCTGTGTAGTACGGGTAGAGGCGCGAGAACCTCTCAGAGCACCCTGGAGCTTCCAGGGACTTGCCGCGGGAAGAGATCAGGAGAGCTCTGGAGAAACAACAGCCTGCAGCTACTTCTTTCTAACAGAAAGAAGTTCAGTTTTCTCCTCCTCCTTCCAAAGTGATGGGAGCGGTTTGGGGCGCGGGAAGGGATGCTTTTCTTCGGACCTACTTGCTACAGTAGTTATAGCTCACATCTAGTGTGGGGCACAACAAAGTGCGGATGGCCAAGGCTCATCTAAGCTCCAATAACGTGGGACCTGTGCTGTCACAGCTCTCCTGGAATCCTGAGGGCTGACTCCAATGCATCCGAACCCGCCTCCCAGAGCACTGCGGTGCCGTGACGTCAAGATATCCACCCACAGACACAGTGATGTCAGGCAGGCCTGTGGCTACTGCTCAAGGGCCCGGAGTTGATTATAGTATCTCATTTACGGAGTTCTGTGACGTCTCGAATGTCCCTGCCACAGCTCCCACATTTCCTGGGAGTGCCAAGGATCGGTTGGATCCCCACGGACGAGATTCGCTGACCCAAAGCGTGGGCAGATACCGGGAGTGAAGGAAGATGCCCAGCAGCGTCCTTTAGAATCTGGTCATTCGGGCTAGCTGGATTTCCCTGCAGCCACTGGCTCCGGATACTCCGCCCGCCCACTCTGGCTCCACCCCAAACACCCACTTCGCCGCCAGCCTCACAGTCCATGCCCAAGTTGCAGCTTTAGGCGCAGGCGCAGACAAAACCCACCTCCCAGGGCGGCGGGCTCTGGAGAGCAGGCTCAGGCGTCAGCCCCGGGTAATCACGGCCTAATTCCACGTCCCTCTTTCGGGGATAAAAGGAGCTCTGGTGGCGCAGTGATTAAAGCTCTTGGCTGTCATCTGAAACATGCCAGTCTGCTTCTGTAAAGATTTACAGCCTTAGAAACCCTATGATTTCTACTCTGCCCGATAGATTCTTTATGAGTACCATCGACTCCTGGGCAGTGGGTTTGGTTTTGGTTTTGGTCTTTCAGAGATCGCAGAGTCAGGGTGACATTGGCCTGGCTAGCGGATGGAGAGGAGTGAGAGTGTAGCTGCGTGTTAATGCAGGCTGGAGACCTTGACTTGGTGTTCCTGTGGCGTCGGAATCCAACACAGCTGAAGAACGGAGCTGGCAGGGATCGGGTGGCCAGGCCCTACCCTAGATTAGAAAGTCCAATGCAGTCCCTGGACTCTCCCACAGGTCTCTGAGGCCAAGGTCTCAGCCATAGTCTGGCAGAGCTCTTAAAGCAAAGTCTTGGTCTCCCAAGCAACCTGTTCACCCCACTTTCTCGGCTAGAGCCAAACTGATGGTTGGGCCGCGTTTTAGATATGTTTCAGACGAATAATTCACTACCTACATGAAATATTAGGTTAGTTTAGACCTCATGCCAGTGGAAGAGGAAGAATTAGAAGCTGTGGTTCCTCTGAAGTGAGGGAGCAGAAGATACAGTTCTAGTTTTTCCTGTCACAAGTTTTGGGCAAGTCTATCCACTTCTCTAAGTCACAGTTTTCTTTGTTAAGTAGGGATAATACTCTTTTCACCATTCATCTGATGTAGAGGTCAGGGTCAGTGTTTTCCCAAACATTTATTCATTACCTCAAAGAAACAAAAAAAGTGGGCCTTAATATGTTGTAGACTATGTCATTTATAAAGTGCTGTGTAAATATAAAATTAGAAGGGCTGCTCTCAGGATCTTGGAGTTTCCTGCCTCTTAAATTACCTTATTCCTAGAAAAGTCTCCTCC